ATTAATTTAATTAATTTATATAAATAGTTTTATTTAATATTTTTAAATGGTTGTTAGGGACCTACATTGACCACCACCCACCACCTTTACCAAAAAAAAATTGCCGCGAGTGTTTTTTGAAGGAAGTCCACTTTTCAGCCACTGTTTGTGCGTCCCCATGTCACCCACTTTCCTTGTCCGTACTGTGTGGACGCGGATGTGGTTCCCCCCCGCAAGCGGGGGGGGTCAGGGGGGATCCGCGCCAAGGGAGGACTTGGAAAGTGGGTGAAACGGTGCACAAACAGACTGTTTGAGTGTGTCTTTATGAGCCTTCTTTTCAATGCTCCGTCTCACTCGGTTTCCACTGACTCGAGGTGAATTTTCGGCATTTTTTGAATTCGGGAACCAGACCTAATATTATCCCAGTTTCCTATTTACTATAATTTTAATTTGAATATGATTCAAAATAAAAAAAAATAAATCTATTTTAAGAGGAGGTGGTGGTGGTCAATGTAGGTTTCGTTTTTAATTGAAAAAAAATTATTATAAATGAGGTAATGATGTTTTAAATGAAATTTATATAAAATTTAATATAAAAACAAAAAAACTCTATTAACATACATGGAAAACGAGTTGACAACACTCTCAGCACTTTGCACTAACGCAGCAAAGGCGGTGTCAGACCTCAACAAAAATAATGAGGAAAACAACTTTGTTGACAACAAGTCACTTAACATTGATCAACGCATCGAAAATGCAGAGGGACACTTCGACAGACTTGATGAAGTATTTGAGAGAAAGAAGAACATCACAACATCACTCAACACAATTGTCACCGATTTGGATAACGCATCAAATAAAATCAAAAGTGAGATAAGTCTATATTCAACACAAAGTGACAACGACAAGTTGTATGAGATATTCAGCATTAAAATTGCACTTTATGAAGAGAAGTGCCAAATGGACACAAAACCACTTGAAGATGAAATCAACAAAATCAAACAAACAAAAAACAATAAAGTTGATCAAATAATAAAATCAGAGAAATTCATCAATGCGAAGAAACAACATGATGAAGAAGAAGAAAGAATAAAGCGAGAACACATCACACTTGAAGAAAAAGCCGGTCTTGAGAAATTAACACGTATGAAGATTGGAAGTGTTGTGTTTGACTCAGACATAGACGACTGGTCAATGTACACATCAGTGTTTGATAAAAAAGTCATCAACAAAAGCAACTTGTGCTTTTTGATTGAAGACACAAATCACAACAAGTTTGGTGGCGTGTTCACTGGTAATATCAATGTTGTTGACGGTTTTATTAACAGTGGCAGTTCTTACATCTTTTCACTTGTGAGAAGTGGCACTTTAAATCCAAAAAAGTTTGGTAAAAGTGGAAATGACACCGATTATGAATTATATCTGAATTCTCAAAGCTATAAATATCTCTTTGGATTTGGTCATGGTTGTGATATACGTGTGTTCAAGAAAGGCATTAATGGTAGTGATTGCAAACCAGACACTTACACTGCCAAAGAGAACGAGTTGACTGATAACGTCACATTCACACCAAAGAGTGTTGTTGTCTACCAACTTAACTGATTTGTTTGTCAACTTTTGTTTTTGTATCAAATATTTGCAACACATTGACAATTAAATTGTCATATTTGTAAGTTGCCACGTCACCACAACATGAATAATATACACAAGTTTTAACAAAATCTGTCCTTTTTGAAGGGATGGACAGACGGAAAGAAAACGGGTTTTACCCTTCAAACCTAACACTGGAACAAACACTCGATTAGGACATCTTCGATGTTTCTTTTTTCAGGCATCTCCTCTTTGTGTCTTGTATCTTCTGGAGATGGATTCACGACGCCGCAACTCGCCGGGTTCAACAAGTTTCGACAGTTGCGGCATATCTACTCTTTGTGTCCCGTTGTATCTTTCCGAAGTATATTAATTGAAAAGTAGTTTGGTATTTTTATTTATTATGGGTTTTCTCAAACTACAAACTATAGTAAAAACTATTAAAATCATATTATAATTAATATTTTCATCTAAAAACAAATAGCACAACTGTTGATATAATTAATTATAATTTGATAGTTTGGTAACACAATTTATTTTTTAAAGCAAAAAACTTAGAAAAAATCAATAAACATAATTAAAATACTACAATTGACAATATAATTAATTAACTATTTTAAATAAAATAAGTAAAAAGCACTGCTGACGCTATTAAGATCAGGCGTTTATTATAATCCTTAATAAAATTTAGAATAACAAATTTGTTTTCAAGTAAAATATTCCTATTTTTCCCGTTTTTTTACTGTTTTTTATTTTTAACACAGAGATAGTGGAAATTATTTCAAAATAAAACTATAACGAATAGTTTATTTATAATAATGTACCATAAATAAAGAGTTGTGGAAGTGTATTTTTTGGATTTCAATCATCTCAAAAACTTTATTTTTCAAAAAACAATATGTGTTGAAGTTTTTGCCTTTGCAAGAACTTCAACTCCCTCAGCCGTCGTCTCAGACTTCAACAACACTGCAACACATCGACCATATGGAAGACGGAAAGCGGTTCCTGTTTTGTGAGCCATTGAGTGAATAATCCCAAGGAATGTGGAAGAAAAGGCCATACCATCAATGGTAGCTGCATTGTGCATATTCTCTCTTGCAACAAAACCCCATTGAATGACTTGACCAAGTCGTCGAAGACTAATTTGACTGACTTTTAGCAAGACCGTCTGTGTACTCATTTGCCATAACTGGGACATAAGCTACAACCACATGAACCAACACATCGATACCACAGCCTGCTCGAGCTCTTTTGTTAATGAGACACAGAACATTGAGTCGATGATAGCAACTGATGGAATCAATGAATAATCTGCAAGTGGACACTTCTTGCCAGTTGTTTTTTTGTTTTATTTTCATTCAACTTTGGAGCACTTCGAAAATAACAATTGGGCGTATTTGAATTATCTGCAGTTTCAGTTTTTATTTCACCTATAAAATTTAACTGGCTCGAATCGTTCGTTAATATTTGTTCAATAATTAATATTATTATCCATTTTTAATTATTACACGATCTATTTGTGAATTAAAGTCATTCTTTAAACTGTGCAACTTTGACGTGTCAGTGCAACTTTGTTTATAGTATAATTATAATAAAAGAATTATATGTTTTTATTAAACAAAACAAGAAAACACAAACAAATTTCTTTAAAACTATTACTCTAATTAAAATACTATAACTAAATTATAACTAAAGTTGCACAATTTTTCTCAATTAGTTTTTTGGGTTGCACCATTCAACTGCCTTTTGTTTATCGAAAATTTTGCAACGAAAAAGTCTTTGAATCACACAAATTGGCTTGTCTCATTATTTTCTTTTTTATAAACGAGATGTTTAACATTTGTTTTATCCACAATGGATATACAACACTGTTTTATTCGTTCTGTATGACAATTAGAATTCTGGAATTATAATGTTTTTATTAGGACAAGCAGTTAAACTTATCATTTAAATATCGAGTTATATTTTATGTTGATTTATAACCTAATTCTACTTTTCGTTATTATTTTTGTTATTGTTGAAAAATAGAGATTCACCTTTGTTGTGAGTAAAAAACAAAGAAAAAATAAAGTTGCATATTTGTTTGGTATGACTTTACCATTCATTTTTATCAAAAAAATAAATTTCGTATAGCTTATTTTATAGCCAAATAACTATTAAATTATAGCATTGTTACATTTTTTTTTATTATTTTTATAGTTGTTTTTTAATTCAGATATATTTACAATTATAATTATTTTTTTGAGAAAGTGAAAAGTTCGCCGAACTGCAATTTTTCAAATATTAGGCAAAATACTATTATAAATACTATCAAATTTTATTATATTACTACTATATTAAATAGCTTTTTATTATAAAAATTAGTTTATTTCATGATAATGTTTAACACATTTTTTCTATTCCAAACAAAAAATCTCTTGGTTTAAATATTTGCATATTATAATTATATTTTATAAGTTCTTTAATTATAAATTATAGTACAACAATTTCATTTCGAGTAATTTCACCAAAACGAAACCAATCAGTATTTCTTGCTTATCATAATTAAATTTCTTATTGTTTTTCTAGCGCCTGCAGTCTCTCAAAAAAGCTCAATCCCTTATTCTCACTTTTAAACAAAGGATCGTCGAACGTAGAATTCTCTTTTTTCTTTAAATCGGTGTTTTGCGTTCGAACCATTGTTTTTGGTTTTGTTTCTTGTTTTTTACTATAGAATGGTTTACCATTACTTATTGGTTTCTTAACTATATTCTTTTTTTGTTGATTTGACTGCTTGTGTCGGACCGTCGAACCACTTTTTTCTTTTTTTTTAAGTTGGTTTTTAACGCGACTTTTCTGGGCTTTGTGTTGGGGGCAAGTCAAGGTCTTGTGCGTGAGACTTCCGCAGATGAAACACGGCTTTATCTTCTCTCCCGTTTCATTTAGAAAAACAACTCCGACTTGTTTCCCACCGATTTCTGTTGTCTTCAATTTGGCCCCACAGTCTTGCGCATTTGTAGCTGACTTAAAAATGACGGAAATTGTGTTCCCCATTAATTCACCAGTTTTAACTAAAGGTAAAGTTATTTTGACATCAAACCCTTTGAAATAGTTTTCGATCTCTTGTTGTGTTTGAGTTATTCCTTTAAAGGAAAATCGAAGAGTTTTCTTCGTTTTATCTTTCTTATCTAATTTAAAATACACGGGAACTCCATTCCACTCACTTTTGTTTTTCTTTTTAAAGATCTCACTCGCAACTTCTTTGGTTGGCGCTTCTATGATGCAATTACTCTGCTTTTGATCGTTAGAATAGCGCGATATTTTGTAATCATACGGTTGAAACTCGTCACAGATAGCTTTGATCGCTTCGTCAGTCACTGAATGGTCGAGACCAACAATTTTCACTTCAAAAAAGTTCAAAGGATTTTCACTCGCCATTTTTGCAGTTTGAAATTGGTATTTTTTTGTTTTCGTTTTAGGTTTGAATGTTGCTCATTAATTGATGAAATTGAATTATATTTAATTATAATTTTTATTAGAATATTTAATATTTAATTTTTAGTTTTATATAATAAAATATTAATTAATTTTTATCAGTCAATAAATAATAATTTTTAATTTAAGAATTTATAGTTTATATATATATAAAATTGCATAATATATAATAATATAATTAACTAAAATAATAAAATAATTTTATTGTTAATCATTTAATATATATAATAATATATTTATAATTAAATAATTTTGGTCATGAAAATATTTAGGTTTTAACTATTACTAAAATTAATAATAAATTATTATAAACTACTCATAACTATACTTAATAAAAAACATTAATAATTTTAAGTACAACTATAAATTTGTTATTAATTTGTTATTAATTTA